ATACTGCTGGGAGACTAGGAAGAATACCACCGAAACACTATACCTCTTTTTCTTATGCTGGTTCATCTCCTGAAGCTCCTCTGATAACCAGTTGACCCTCCGGGATCCATGCACTTAGACAGTCCACCAGGCATAATCCAATCCAAGGCCATTATTGCCCTCTCATTCCAAGCAGTGATTATGGCCTCAGTTGAACGGTGTACCAGAATCTCAGGGACAATGCCAAGCTTTCTCTGGAACCCTACTGGGTCCATCAGGCACCTGGCATAGACTGATCAAATAGATCCAACCTCTCTGCAGTGGGGTGTACCTCAAAGAACTCTAAGGAATAGGTATATATCTTCAAATGTCTATTACAGAATAGTCCCAACATAATTAAGATTTGAAGACACCATTCTTGTGGACTTAGTGAAGAATAGAAAAAAAATGTGATGCCATTTCTCTTTAGAAATTAGGAAATGCCTTTCAGATGCAGTTTAATGTAATCCAGTCTTGTTGGGCGGTTGTGGAAATACACTTCTATTCCTTATGTTCTGTTCCCAGTGCCTCTACCTCCTATAAGCTTCAAGGAGGCTAAAGTCATGGAAGAGACTTTGAGCATGAGAAACCTACTGTTTGTACCCTCCCTTCTCTGTAAGAAGGAGTAAGTAATTGCAAAAGGAAAAGAGGGATCGTACAATGGTCTTTCCATTCACCATAAGGTTTTACTTCCACCTCCAAAATTTCAAAGCACCTATAGTTCCTAGTTCTACAACATACTTCTATCTATCAACCTGCTTCCAGCAACTATCCAGTAGACAGAAGTCACAGGCAGATAACAATTTGCGCTAATCCAGGAACGGAGAAGTTTTGTCACATGAAACTTCTGGATATAATCCTTATTATGAAAGGACATTGTACCAAAGGGATCTAAGGTCCTTGCTTTCTCCTGCATAAAAAAAATGGAATATGGAACATTCTAGGTCCTTGGCTGAATGATTTGACAGTGACTTTTTAAAGCTGAACCAGTGAATAAAACACGTATCTACTGCTGGGAGAAGTTCCCAATAAATTGCTAGCACAGAGACTCAGGGCAGCTGTCTTAGTCCAAAGTAGTGATTGCATGGGATGGCAGCGTTTGCCATGGAAGCTTAGTTACCTTGGAAACGTGTTTTAACTGCATCTTTGCTATATGGAGAGCCTATTTAGAATTGCTGCTTTGCTTTGAAGTCTGATGTCTTTAAGCACAATGTGAGCAGAAGTCTATTTTAACCTGAATCAATATGACATTAAGGCCTTATCCACAATCCTAAGAATTTAAATCAAACTGGGCATATTGATGGGAAGAGCATACAGTGCTCTGAGTGACAAATTAATATCCTTTATCTATTTGTGCAAATTAATGCTGCTGTGAACACACTATGCTCAGAGGATGATATTTTGTTTTATACATGTGAGGATGAAGTATTATAGTATTTGCTAGTGATTTTCCAAACTCTCAGTTATCACAGTTGTGCCTGTCTTCTTGGTTATGTTTACTTAAATGATGTTTTGCATGAAGATGACTTACTAAATATTTTCTTTGTCAGATCATTACCTGATCTACAGCAATATCTACATGTTTATTTGAACATGGGATCCTTCTTATCCTCCCACTGCCTTTTCAAATAACTTTTGATTGCCTCTCAGTATGTTAAATACTTTTGAAAACTCAGAGAACACCAATAACTGTCATTACTGTGGCTATTTGTTTCTTATTCCTCTTGTCTTCTTTCATACTTCCAATTATTAATGATCAGTGGCTGAAATCCATTCTAAATAGCTAAATATGCATGTGTAATGAATATGTTTTTCTGTGCCCTGCATATACTGAGTTTTTTTAATCTAGCTATTGTCCTGTTTCTGACCAAAAACACAAAATAGGTCCTGACATATCCAAAACTTCCAGAGAGAAAGTATTATTCTTAAACAAACAAAAATAAAACAAGCAAAAAAACCCCAGAGCAAACAAAAATAGTGAGCCACAAATGAACTCCTTGACAGAAGCCAAAAAGTTAATTTATATTCTCATGTTTGCCAAGTCAAGATTATTTACAATTCTTTTAAAGAGACAATACACTGCAGCCATCTGTTAAGGTATGTAAAAGTACTGTTAAAGTAAAGACAAATCAGCCATCAATAGAAACATAGAGATAAACCACATTTACACAT